TGGCAGTTAATTTGCATATCACCCTGATTAGCCAATGGGAAGTGTGTCGGAGGTATGGTTAATTACCATGTTTGTCTATTATTAGATAGGATAGATTGTACAGCTATTTGCTCTCAGTAGGGGGTGTGCAGGAGGCAACTGGTCAATGATTCTCTCTCATCACTGACATTTCTATCTTTCCCTCCCTCTCTCTGAAATCAATAATATATGTATATTACATATATATTTAAAAGCAGGTGACAGAACCCACTAACAAATCCTGAAGGCTAAGGACTCAAACAATGTAGATATGATTTTTAAGTAGTATATTAATCTCTTAACACACAAAAAGAAATTATATTTACCTTGATAATACCATTATTCTCCCTTTATTTTAAAGAAAAAGGATTAAAAGAGAGGATAACACTGGCAATTTCCCTTATAATTTGGATGGAAGGGATCACGTCATACTTATTACTTTGAAAAAAATGTATATTTTTAAGGGAGAAGGATAGAGAGATAGAAACATCAACGATGAAAGAAAATCAATAATGACAGAATCAACCACTGAGCCATGCCAGCAGGGCCATACTCATCATTTGATTTTCAGTACTTTCCATCAGAAGGCAGTAAGTGTTCTGCATACGTGAAATTATGTTTCTATTCTTTTTTAACTTCATGATATTCATAAAAGTTATGCTTACTCTTTTCCCAGTATGTATATGCACAGGGAGGATGTTTCCATGGGAGAGGCAAATGCTTTCCCTCAAATCTATACTACTAAAAGGGTAATATGCTAATTAGACCGGGTCAACCAGCCATCTTCAGGATGTCCAACTTCCTTCTGGACAAAGCCATGATGGTGGGGTCTGAGGCAGAGGCAGTGGAATCGGGCCTAAACAGGCAGTTGAACATCTCCCAAAGGGTCCCTGATTGGAGAGGGTGCAGGCTAGGCTGAGGGAACCTCCTCCCCGCCCCCCCCCCCATGGACGAATTTTTGTGCACTGGGCCACTAGTGTCTAATAATAGAAAAAACAGGACTGTTGTCTCCATAAAGTGGAAGGTGGGAAAGATGAGGTAATGATTACCATCAAGTTAATAATCAGTGCTCTGACATTATGAATGCTGTGAGACTGACCTAGTGTAAATATACAACTTGAGGGCTCCAACTACTTATGAGGAATTAGCTAGGACTGGAGGAACTGCACCAAGTAGGATGCAGTCTAAAGGGAAATGCAGAGGTTTTAAATTGAATACAGCATAATTATAACTTTTGTGACTATTTGATACCATGAAGTTACCAAATATAGGATAGTTATAGCTACTAGATTAATGCATAAGATCCTAATAAATACTGATAAACTTACCTAGATTTATCCAAATTCCACCTGGTTTGAGTATTTTCCATATTGTGTCAATATAATCAATTACATTGTGAGCTGTGTCTATGAAGAAACAGGTAGCAATACAGTCCCAGGCATCTATTCAAGGAAAATCAAATTACTACATTTGTAATGTTATTTTTAAATTTTTTTGTTATTTTAACTTTTAATTAATTCCATAAATGTACCAGGTTCCTCTTACAGAATATTAATATTTCATTTAACTGCAGGGATATAGAAGCTAAACTCTTCCAATCAACTACTATAATCAAGATAATTAAATAATCATTTATGAGATACTTTACAATTAAGATTTTATTAATAATTTGATAAAGTAATCAATTTGGAAATCATTTTTGATACCTGTATCACTATATATCAGTGGTTCTCAACCTTGGCTGCACATTAGAATCACCTGGGAATCTTATAAAATCCTGATTTCTGGACCTCATCCTCTGGAAATTCTGTTTCTTTGTTACGGGGTGAGGCCACAACATTAGTAACAAAGAAACAGAATTTCCAGAGGATGAGGCCCAGAAATCAGGATTTTAAAAAGATTCCCAGGTGATTCTAATGTGCAGCCAAGGTTGAGAACCACTGCTATATATCTTTACCAAATGATATGTTTTGTCTATAATTTATTTAACTGCTTTCTTTTAAAATCATTGAAGATGAAATAATAGTCATTTGAATTCTAAATTGATTTCTTTCAACCAATGTTAATTACCAATTCTGAAAGGTTTCAGAAAGCCTGTATGCATACACTTACTTTTTAAGTTCTGCTCTTAGAAAGACCTTCCCTGACAACTATATAAAACAGCAGGCCCTCCCCAGACCCTCCTCATCCTCTTTCCTGCCATAGTTTCCTTCCTCATAATATTAATTTGTTATTGCCTCTCTCTCCCTTTAAGAATATATAAGTTCCCAGGTACAGGGACTTTGTTTTGCTCACTGCTGTCTTTCCAGTGCCTAGAACATACCTGCCACTTAGCAAGTTCAACAGATATTTGTTAAATGAATGACTTGTTGACACCTCAGCATTTCATTCTTCTTTCTTTCACTGACAACTCCCCTCCTCTCTCCCCTCCTCACCTATCCCTTTCTCTAATGCCTAGCACAAATTTCTTCCATACTTCATAGCCTGATTGTAAAGGTCCTGCACAATCTGGAACCAACCTTCTTCTCTACCCATATTTCCATTAAATCTCCAAATAGACTTCCCTTCCCTTCCCAGGCTGTTTACCATCCTCAATTACCTTATTGATTCGTATGTATGTACTTCTACCTCCTGGAATGCCATTCCTCCTTATCCTTCAAGTCACAGCCTCTCCACAGAGAACTCCCTTCTCACACTAACTTACTTCCATTACTCATTTAACTTTGTTTACATGTTGGCTTCTATTTATAGACCCAATAGATTATAAATTTCTTAACTGTGGGATCTTATACTTTTTTATATTTCCCATCATTGCCTTATACATGCATGACCTTCAAATTATTTTAAATTGTCACTGAAGTATACTTTATATTCTGCCATCAAAATGGATGACCAGAACTTTAGCTTAGTATAAAATTAGATCATTAAATTTAGAATTGATAGACCTTTAAAATGTTTGCTTTCAACTTACTGCATTCTGAGTATATCTCCTGAAAATCTCCTGCTGTCATAGAAAAATTAGAACCAGGAGGAAGACTGTGGGGGTCAACATCGGGGAAAAAGATGGGTCGAATCTGATCAGCTGACTTCCGGTTATTGCTAAACTGATGGATCCAGGGATAAAGCTTATATTTATTAATTTCAGAACATCTGCAAAATATGAGCATACAATTCAGTATTAACTAAATATGTTACCAAGAAAATCTACTTTAAACACTAAAGTATATTGTTTGATTAAAAGTTTACTTATTTAATTACTACTTAAAAAGTATTACTATTATACCCCATCCAATTATCTGGAAATGCACATACACATGCAGATGAGTAACCAATCATGAATGAAGACAGAAAAAAATTAAATTCTGAGATATGAATGTGTTGTTCATTCCAAGTTTTACAAATATATTTCCAAACTTCAAAATCAAGTAAAAACCAGTCCAAGTATTTTTTTAATGTTATGGGTTTTGTTTGATACCTATTTTAATTACTCTGTACAACCTTCTCCCATTTTAACTTATTATCCCCCAACTCATACTGCCACCAAAATAACATATTACTTAAACAGGCAGCTATTTAGTTTTTTCTCTAACACACCTCTTCTGGCTTTAAAAATAACAACTCTTTTCCACTGCTTACTAAGAGGCCACAGAAGTTCTGAAAGATCTTTCCAACTCAGTCACGTGAGCTTACTTGGCCATTTAATAAGAAACTTAAGGACAAAAGATATCACTATACAGTACTCTTACTATACTGAAGAAACAAAAGGGTGAAGAAGTTTAAGGAACAATGAGAAAGTACCCCTTCCTGGATCATACTTAGTCCTGAAATTCACACAGAAATAATTTCATTTTCATGGAATGCCAAGTCACTTCCTAAAGTCACTAAACCATCTTGATCAAATGTCTGTTAACTAGACAACTGATTAAAGTGACAATTGTATAACCAATTTAATATAAGAAATATTTATGGTATACATCATAATTAAACACTATGTACTTATCTTCAAATTCAGAATTGTTCAAAAATAGGTAAGTCAGTCTAATTCTGAAATATTACTATTTCTAACAAAAAGTAAATTAAATACCTGTTGAGTACAAAGTTGGAAGAAAATAGCATAAAAAAACTCCATTCATTTCCTTGACAAGCATAACCTAGCATAGCTATTTCCCAGGCCAGTCTTCCTAGTCCAGCACCAGGTACCAGAATATTTACTTTAGAAGGATCCCTGAAATGAAATAAGGCAATTATGTCCAACCCCTTAAAGAAAAGAAAAAGAAAAAAAAGACAAAGATCCATATTAACAACTAAAATCTTTGATATGAAGACCCCCATATCCCTAGTAGCTGTCGCCTGAACAACTATTAAAATTATCCCAAAGGGATCCCAATACATACAAAGAGGTGAACAAAATTATTTTATCATGAGACAGTAAACAAAACATAATTTCATTTCTAAATTCTGTAATACAATGGTTTATGTAATTAAATAGATTAAGTATAATTTTTAATATGTCAGGTATATCTTTTTTATTTTTTATTATTAATGTGCTTTTTGCCCATTCTCAACCGAGTATATTTTTTCCATTAAGTTTTAGAGAGTGGAAGAGAGGGAGAATGAGAAACATCTATTTGAGACACATTGATTGGCTGCCTCCCACACGCATCCCAGGCCAGGAATGGAACCTTGATGTTTTGCTGTGCAGGACAACACTCTAACCATAGAACCACATTGGCAAGGGCTGTCAGGTATATCTTTAAAAGAATCTAGGAGGTGGGGGGGGATAGTTTTATGGGGAAAATGGGGAGCTATCTTCTAATTGATCATATATAATAGCAAATAATATCACACCGAACCAGAAGAACACAACCACACTGCTCTCCACTTATTTGCATCACTCTACCACAAATATCCTTTGTTATAAAATCCACCATTCCACTTTCAAACTGCTAAAAATTTGCCTTAGCAAAGCAAGAACCTTTCTCAGGACTCCTGGCAAGTAAATGTAAACAATAAAATGGTATTCTTACTGAAAACCAAAGAAAAGTGTGTATAATCAGCTATCATGGCAGTTAAAAGTGAACTTATCTTTTGTCTGTATTCCCCAAACTTAGTATATACTAGTAAATCAAATAATTTCGAAATCTAGCCCCATGTATTTCTTTTTATGTTTAAACTACATGGTCCTTAGTTTGGTGTGGTCCAAACAGTAGCAGGGCTACTAGTAGCCCTATATGATAACCTTTGCATTTCCCACTTTGAAATAAAAAACAAACAGAACTAAAGAACTTTTGAAAATTCAGTCTACAAATACAATAGCGTGGGAATTTGCCCAGGGCATTCAGTCTTAAATATTTACACATGGAACATGTATTTGTATAAAAATCTTAAAGTTTAATTTGTTTCACTGTTGAATTTTACATATACGATATGGCATAAACCAAAATTTGTTAAAAATGATTTTTGACAAGCTTATTATGATTAGTAAGACATCCTTTAATCCTTGATATAGACAAACTAATTCCAAGGTGTTACGTAACAATCTTCACTAAAATAAAATAGAATGCTTTCTTCTCATTCTAGATTATACATGTGTACATGTGCGTGAACACTTAAATTTGTTTTTGTTTTATGCTTTTTAAAAATTGATTTCAGAGAGAGGGAGAGGGAGAGATAGCAACATCAATGAGAAACACTGACAGGCTGCCTCCTGCAAGCCCCCTACTGGGGATCGAGCCTCTAACTTGGATATATGCCCTGACTGTCAATGGACCTAAGATCTCCTGGTTCATGGGTCAACACTGAACCACCGAGCAACACTGGCCGTGCCTCATTAAATTTTTAATGAGGGCATCTCCTCAATCCTACTTATATTGGTTACCTAACAAAAATACACAAAATTTTATTAGAATGTGAAAAGCTCCTAGATGTAGAACTCTAACTCTGCTAAGCTTTATATAAAGGACCTTCCACCATGGAACCCCACCCTGGCCTCTCCTCCCATTTTCCACTCCCTACCACCCACACAAACCCTTACTCTCCACACTTATTTTCTTTTTAGTTCCCATCTGCCCAATCAAAACATCCCGGGTGGCTGTTTTCAGATAAGAATTTTTTAAAAAAAACCAAAGTAATTAAAGTAAAAGGATTTGGAAGTAAACTGAGTCCTTAAATCTTTATAAAAATAATCACTAATAATTTCTGAATGGCTAATGATCTGCATAAAACATCACCATGCAGAACACAGATGAGAGTCTCAATGGCATTCTGGGTGAAAAAGCCAATTTCAAAAGGTGACAAATATATTGTATGACTCCATTTAATATGATATTCTCAAGAAGACAAACTATGTGACTGATAAGCAGTTACCACAGGTTAAAGGTGGGGAGAATGTGTCACTATAAAGGGAAACATGAGGGGTTTTCTTAATTGATTTTTTTTTTTTAGAGAGGAAGGGAGAAAGATAAATATCGATGAGAAAAACATCATGAAACATCACTGATCAGCTGCCTCCTGCATGCTTCTCAATGGGAATCGAGTCCACAATTCGGGTATGTGCCCCGACCGGGAATTAAACCAGTGACATCTTGGTTCATGGGTCGAACTTCAACCACTGAGCTACACTAGCTGGGCAACATGAGAATTTTTTTGAAGGGTAATAATGGAACTGTTTTGTACCCTGTTGGTAGTGGTAGCTAACCAAATCTACAAGTGCTAAATTTCATAGCTCCAAGAAAAGTACTTTTTACTGTTAATTAAAAATAACGTGGCTCAGTGGTTGGGTGTCACTCCAAGCACCAAAAGGTTGCCCGTTTGCTGGTTCCATTCCTGGTCAGGGCACATGCCCGAGTGGTGGGCTCATCCCCTGTAGGGGCACAGGAGGTAGCCATGGATGTCTCTCTCTCTCTCTCTCTCTCTCTCTCTCCCTTCCTCTCTCTCTCAAAATCAATTTAAATATCTTAGGGGAAAAAATGCAGAAATTAGAAACCCAGCTATCCTTAAGGAAAAGTTTTTGTTAATAATGATACCAGCAATTGTTTTAACTGAAGGAAAGTTAACTATGGCTGCTATTGTGAAATTTGCCCTAACTAATCAGGGCTATAGAACTCTCTACCCTCACCTTGAGGCAGAATGTTGCTGTATAAAACTGCTATTAAAAGGCTGTCAGTAAGCCATGGAATGCAGAATCTAGCAAGGCCCTACCTTAAGCCTTAATAGAGATTATAGATCTACCAATTATTTGTATTATATCAAAAAGGGTTTATTTCTGTAGGCATATAAAAAGGATATACATTAAAACAAATAATTGAAAAATGATTAAGAATCAAGCAGTGAATGGGGGAGATGGAGAGAATATCCCCTCGTTCTTTCTTCTTAGCTAGTTTTTCATTGGGTGCTTATAAAAGGGCTATTAACAGCATAATGAAACATCCTTCCAATTATAATGCATATGAAACTAAGGCACTCTAAAAAGCAGTTTCTGCTATGGATCCTTATGAAGTCTAGGACATTTCTATGAAGGTATTTCTGTGGAGAATAAGAGAAATATAAATCTAAGTATAGGCCTTTATGGAGAGCTGACTTGAAACAATATATTTAGTATAAATGTAACACCCCTGGATAATCCTATATAATAAAAAGCAAATATGCAAACTGTCCCCTCAGCCAGGAGTTTGATCCAAGCAAATCTTATTTTGAACAGGGGTGTCTTGGAATTGGCCCGAATAGTGATTCTCTGTAGCTCTTCTAGGATGAACAGGCTGAGAACTAGGAGATTTGCAAGGGCCCCCCCCATCGGAGTGGGCTGGCCAGACCCCACCCATGCACGAATTTGTGCACTGGGCCTCTAGTAGTGGGATAACAGTGTATTCCAGACAAGCAAGAATGGAGAAGGGTGCATTTGTAAGGACAGAACAGAGCCTTGTGTGTCTGAACAGGCTGTGGATCACATATGCACCACCCTTGGTGCTTCAACTATTGTACCAGCAGTAAATGTTCTTGCGAGAGAGTTCCTTTATTGGGCACAGAATGATTTTTTGCATTGCAGCTGCTGAATAGCAAATTCTAACACACAAAATACTTCCTCTTGTGTCAGCATGTCACATAGCTGACCCCTGGTGGTAGCAGGCACTACCTTCAAGCACCTAAAAGGTTAAGTTCTGTTTGAGTCACAGCAATTCACTTATGGTCCAACATAGTAAAATCCACTAATCATGTGTAGCTGGCTACTGAACACTTAAAATGTGGCTATTTCTGAGATGTGCTGCAAGTATAAAATAATGCCAGATTTCACTTAGTTTTATAAAGGAATGTAAACTGTCTCAATAATCTTGCATACTCATTATAACTTGAAATATTTTTATATAGATTTACTGGGTTATGAAGTATATTATTAACTTCATCTGTTTTTATTTACCTTTATATGTGGCTTCTAGAAATCTTAAAATAACACATGTGGCTTGCATTATATTTCTATTAACCCAGTTGGTCCATACAGCAAAATCATAAAAACCCAATTCTGAGCAAAAAACAATTGTGAGATGACATCATAAACCATTATATGAACTTTTAAAACATATAGAGCAATACAATATTTGTATTGTTTAGGGCAGTAATTTTCAACTGGTATGCTGCAAGAATTTTAAAACATACAAAACCTATTTAGGCAGGGACACTGACCTTTTTTTCCTTAGATTGTCAAATATAAAAATGACAACAGCCAACACAATAGCTGTCTGGTGTGAATGAATCAAAATTATATCTTTTTTTGTCAGATCAACAAAGAATGTGTATTTTGGCATTCAGCAGAATTTTAGTAATTGTTTATGTGTGTCATGAGATTAAAGGTTGAAAAATCACTGGTTTAGAGGTATATGAGCATATAGTTAATATAAGAAGGTATGATTAGAGTAACAAATTAATGTTATCTCTGAAAAGAATGTGCTCTATATATGATTTGAGGGCAGTTTCAACTGCATATGTAATGTTTCTTTTAAAAAATACAAAATTTTTTGAAGTTAATATATCAAAATGTCAAGGTTTAACAGCTAGGTGTTGAAATATTTTTTATTCAAAGGAGAAAATGAGTTAGAAACCAGATTAATATCTAGCCCCTTCAAAAATATGGTCCCAACTTACCTCTTACTCCCAACAAAAAATTCCACCTAGCAACCAAACAACTTCTCACCAATTGCATAAGACACTTTCTCACCTTAATATTTAGAGCAC